CTAATTTATATATATTATATATATTATTAAATATATGGTATATATATTTGTTGTACTTGTATTCTTTATATATATGGTATTAGCTTTTATTTGGATTTAATTAATTGGTTAATGTAAACACACTTCTGTATAATTATTATATTATTATGTATTTATTATTTATCATTTACATATGACACTCCAATGTTGCTGTTGCTGTTGTTGTTGTTGCTGTTGTTATTATTATTATTGTTGTTCTTGTTGTTGTTGTTGTTATCGTTGTTACTTATTTTGTTGTTTTTTTTTCTTTGTTTATAAATTGTTGATATTCATTTATGCAGTTAACGTTGCAATTGTTGTTGTTGTTGTTTTAGTTGATTCGTTTGCTTTACGACAAATTATATATACCGTTATATAAATAAACGCACACACACACACACACGCTAATTACTATTCAATAATTTCAATTTTGAAAATTGGGCGACCTGTTATCGATCTTGAATTCAATCGAATTCAAGCGTAATTGCCACGGATTTAACTCGATTTCTTTGTGTGTGTGTTTGTTTGTATGCAGGTATGTTTGTGTGTACGTATGTATGCTGGTATGTATGTACGTGTACGTCTGCTGTCACTGGCACCGTGCATTTGCCATAATTTAAAATTTAAGATTATATGCATATATGTACCCATACATATGCACATGCATACACATATATAATGTATATGGATAATTTTGTTTTTCACGTATGCGTCACGCGTCGCCTTTGCGTGCTCGTCTTCGCCTCACATTTGAGTCTAACGCAAAAAAACTGTCGACTGGCGATGCCCCGTTCGAGTTTCTGTTGCTGTTTCTGTTTCTGTTGCCATTTGCCATTTGCCATCAGCGAATTGCAGACCTGCGCAATAAGCGGCAATTCTCTCTTTTTGCGCCGCGGCGGAGTCAGTTGGAAAGCTGAGTTAGCTGATTTCAGCTGATTTGCTTGTCGATTTCCCGCCTCTGCTTAAACCTAAAATCTACGCAACAATTTCATCCGACTACCCCTTAGAATAAAAAAGAATCGATCAATCAATCGATCGATTACATTGTCGATAACTCAAAGAACTCGTACTCAAAATAGCATTAGTTCTGGCAACTTTTTTCATTCTTCAATGCAAAATACAAAATGAAAACAAGAAATTGTCAAATTGTGACCTTGAAGGAGGTTAACTTAGTTTTTAGACGTTTTCTAAAGTAAGCTTAAACCTTTTCCGTAATATGCAAAAAAATGTATCTCAACTTAAAGTCAGCAATACTCTTGCAGCTTGTCCCTTCACAAATGTTAAAATCGAAAATGTTATGTTTGAACTTATAACTAATGTTAACAAATTGGTGCAATAACATTTCTGCACGCACGCTCTTTTCGGCCTCTCTGCATATATATATATATATATATATATATATATATATATATATATATATATATATATATATATATATATATAACATATATATGTATACAGGTATGTATGTCATACATACAAATGCGTTTGCCACGTACACGTGCCAGTCTGATCAGCGTGTGTGTGTGTGTGTTAGTGCGTATCTTTTTTAGTTCGCGCGCACATTTCACAGTTGCCACACTGAGTTTTGTAAGAAATGTTGTCGGACTTCAAATTTAGCATTGAGTTGAAATTGCGTTGTGGGCTGCTTTTTTACTTCTTGTTTTAGAATTTATTTCAATTATACTTTGTGCTTTAGTTTGCCACTCGATGAGGGCTGGCTCTCATTCTAATGCGCTCTCTCGCTCTCTGTTGGAATCCAATCAGTGGGAAATTCTCTCGCTGTTACTCTCTCTGCTCTCTTTCCCTGCTCTCTTTCTCTCTGTCTCTCTCACTCTGTCAGTGTGTGTGTGTGTGTGTGCTGTTAACGCTTATTAGGGCACTAGGTTTTCATGCAAACATCGGAAAATTGATGTACACATACAGACTCACACAGACACATGCTTTTAGACAGTTTTGGGGCAACTTTTGCATTTCCGTTGTGGCCCCAAAAATAAAAAGCTCTCCACAAATAACGCTACAACTCAACACAACTCAAGTTATCAACCATACGCCACGTTTGCCTTGAGCAAATTGAACTTCCATTGAATGCCAAAACCAAATTGTTTATGACATAATACAATAAGTACAAACAGACATATAAATGTATGAATGTATGTATATGTGTGTGTGTGTGTGTAGAAGAATGCTCACGCGCCATATGTTTAAAGCGTCTGCCCAAACATAAAAATCTCGTGTGCTCGCATATGTGTGTGTGTCTTTGTGTGTGTGTGTCTAACAATAACGAGAAAAACTCGTTAGCAAACAAACGAAAAACATTTAAATAAAATATACATTTACACATTGTGTATACGCGCCGTGTGCGCCTGCAGACAGAAAGAGAGAGAGCAACACCAATTTGAGCGAGCTGCGAAGAAATAGAGAGTGAGAGAGCGGCTGACTGACTGACTGACTGGTAGAAAAAGCTTTGCCAACACTATTAGTGGATGTGTATATATGTGTGTGTGTGTGTGTATGTGTGTGCTGCTTTGACACACTTTTATATGACGTCGTTGATTTTAATTTTTCGTTTCTACGCTCATTTTTTCTTCTTTTTGGTTTTTTTTGTATTTTTTATTTTTTTGCTGTGCTTATTTTGTTGCGTTCTTTGGGTTTGCCAGTTGAATTGCTGAATTGTTGATGTTGTTGTTGTTGTTGCGCTCTGTGTGTGTTTCCACTTTTTGCATGACATTTGACCATTGGAATGAGCTGAGGCTGAGGCTGAAGCTGAGCTGAACTGAGCTGAGGCAGAGATAACCTGCTCAGGCAGTTTACTGTTGTTGTTCTGGCTGTAATTAACACATGTGTTTTGCGCTCCTATTGTTGTTGTTGTTGTTTCTGCCAGCTGCTTCCAATGAAGCGTTCAACATTTCTTATTGGAAAATTGTGATTGTTTTTTGTTTTTGTTTGTTTGTTGCAACGATTAGATTTGTAGTGTTAATTTAATTTTCTGTCGCACGAACGCTGACACCTTCAAAGCTAGCACATTATGATTTTGGTAAACACACACACACACACACACACACACATAAGACTTGGGTGTGAGTATTTATGTAACCAGAAAACGCCAAGCAAAGGCAAAGGCAAAGCGAGCAAAGTGCTCACATACACACACAGACACACACACAGAGATACTTTTTGGCATTGAAACAAAACGTAGTTCACAAAAAAGCACACTCACTCATACACATACACATGCACACTGTCAGAAGCCTACACAGATAGACGCGCGCACACACACACAGCACACACACACACTCACACACACACTACGACAAAAAGTTAGAAGACGGCGTAAAGAACGTTGAAGAAACTAGCATGCGACGCATAAACACATAAACACACTAACACACACACACTTGCACGCTTCAACACACACACACACACACAAACACACATACACATACACAGGCAGAGGCACACAGGCAGAAGCACACTCACACACACATACGCACGCAAAGAGCTTAGAGAGATACACATGGCCACTTTTAAAATACATATACACACACACACACACACGCACACGCACACACAGATACTCATACATATGCAACTATATTCTAAGCGCGTGTGTGCATTATTTAATTAAATTTTGTTCAAACGAATTTTGTTTAAAAAAAAACTCAACAACAACAACGACGACAATTTATATATATAAATATATATATATATATGTATATATATCTATATGTATATATATATATTTATATATATTTTAATGGTGATTTTTGTTGCAAGAATTTTATGGCACTTTTCTCGGTTTGTTTGTTGTTGCAAATGATCTCTTTGATTAGATATACTCGACATACACATGTATGTATATATATATATATATGTATATTTATATATATATATATATATATATATAATGCACGGTATGTAGGAATATATGTCAGTTTTTGTCAGCACTACTATTTGTGCTTATTTTCGTTGTAATATTGTTACATGTGTGTGGCATATAAACAAAACTCACAGATGACGACGCTCTGACTCTGACTGAACTCAACTGAACTGAACTGGACACTGAACGTGCACCTCGTAGCCGAAAGCAGCTTTGCCTCGCTCGATTTACATTTACGCTCTCTCTCTCTCTTGGTTCTCGCACTCTTGCTCTCGCTCTCGCTCTCTCACTCTCAATCTCGTATTTATGCTGCTTGCGCTGAGTAGCTGAGATTTCTGTACAGAACTTAAAATTCCGATGGTGGGCTAATCAGTGGTTGTACACAGATACACACTCACACACACACATACGTCACGAGAGAGAGAGAGAGAGAGAGAGAGTGCGTTGCTTATCTGTGTAAGTTTCAATTTTGCTTTCGTTGTCCATTTCAAATTGGAAGAGCAGAAGAGCAATGTGTGTGCAGCCTACGCTCATTTGTGCACTCTCTCTCTCTTTCTCTCTCTCTCAATTTTGCATTTGCTCTGCTCTGCTCTCGCTCTGTTTGACACAGTGAGAAAAACAACCACTTTACGTCAACACGGATTCAATTTGAGTTTCCATTGTGCATTTTCCAGGCAACACGCGTTTCTCAATTGGCTGCTGACAGAATCCACTTCGTCGTCCGTCGAAAAACCCAGCGAAACAGATTCGAAAAGTGTTGTTAAACAAATCGAAACTGATCACGATCTGTTATTTACCTTATATTTATATAACACCTAAACTGGTAATATTTGCAATATTTCAAAATTGCTTGCGTTACTGATTTTTTTTACTGTTTTTAAATGCTAAATCCTTCAAATGCAAAATGGGCGAGATTTTCAGAGCGCAATTCTTATTGGATATTTTTGTTATCAAACTTAATAATTATCAGCTGAATTTCAAATTAATAGCCAAAAATATCGTTGTTTTCCGAATTTATTACTTATAATATTATGCATAGAATAAAATATATATATATAAATATATATATGGAACATATAATGCTAGACAAATTAGATTAAATCAGTATGATTATATTGAACATTTATTGCTTGAAGTTACAGGAGACGACTACAAATATCACACAAAATAAATTTAAATTACATACACAAACGTATATATAAATATATATAATCCCTGCAGTCGAAAAAATCATAAAATTGTTCGCAATTTGAGATTCACATACGCATAATGTCCAGAAGTGGTGTTTTGGTCAGTGTTAAAGTAACGTGCTTACATATATAAACATAAGTATTTTCTGTTTTTTGTTTTTCTTGCATTTCTGCTAGTCAAGATGTGTAATAAGTTAATGTTGAATGGGCTTCAACTGTCATTCTCATTGTCGGTGCTATAGCTGATTATGTAGGCGGCAGACTCCATGGGACACAGTTGGGGCGCCACCTTTGGCTCGATCTGCTCGAGAATCTGCAGGAATGTCAGTGTGGAGCGCTGACAGCGATGATTTGATGTTTGATCATCAGCTTGCAACACGTTGCACACGTTGAACTGGCCAACATAAATTAGACAAAATATTATTTGTTAATATTATATTATTATATAATTTGTAAGCTGCACTCACCTTGTCTGGTGGCGTCTCCTCGTTGCACTGCAGCAGCTGGGTGCGATGCAGCACGCAGCCAATGCTCTGCTTCTTGGCCGTACCCTTTGTCAGGCGTCGCATCACAACCACATCCAGATCCTCGTTGGCCGGCACATGTCCGCCGCCGAATTGCGCCTGTGCCCCTGTCCAGTCGTTCTCCGTGTATATCAGCTTGTCCAGTGGATCGAGCAGCTCCTGCGATGCCCTGTGTGCCGCTCTTGTCAAGTAATTGGCCGGATGCGCTTCCGCCGGACGCACACAATCGCCGATCCTCTCCAACACCAGCCGATAAATGTGCAACACGGGCTTGTTGTCCAAGACGGCCTGCTCAAGGCCACGATGATCGTCAAAGGCGAGACGACGATCCTGCATCAGTTCCAGCTCGCCGGATTCCAACGATGAACCACCCAGCGGCTGACCCGTGAGCAGTGTTAGCCGCATGTTGGCATCCTCGATGAATATGGCCGTTGGCACCGGATAGTAGTTGCCCTGCAAGGGCAGCTTCTCAAATCGACGCCGCTGTATCAATTGCAATCCGTTCAGATCCGTGTAGAATGTGGTGCCGCTGTCGATGTGCGTCTGCAGACGCATCACAATTTCGGTGTTGTCCGCCACACCGATATCGACCAGATTGCGTATTTCGGGCGCATCGCCACGCAACACGGTCTGATGGATGACGTGGGGCAGGCCAACGCTCACATACGACTCCAGTTTGCCCTCGCTGACGAGCACCACGGGCGGATTGCCCACAATGGCCGTTGCAGGACCATTGGGCAGAAACAGATAAGCACCGGATTTATCGCCATGGACACGTGTGCCATACTTGAGGAATTTCAGATGCGCTGGCACAGGGGCAGTATCGGCTGACAACTGCATAGATTTCAACAGGCCGTGCTCGGAGAAGGCCAAGGTGGGTCCAGTGCCGACGCGTAGCGAGAACTCGCGATGCTCCCCAAACTTGGCATCCTCCGGATATTGGCCCAAGTTCACCGAAACCGGACTGCCGTTCAGCAGTAGATGCGTTGCATACGAAGTGTGACTGCAACAAAACAATTCAATATTAAATCACTTATAAATATTTAGTTGACATTAAATAAATAAATAAACTCACGCTGGCTTTGATCTGGCGACTGTAAGCACATATGTAGCCAGTCCCATGGGTGGCACGCGTGCTTTGAAGATTATGCGGTATTTGGTGGTGGAACCTTGTGGATTCACAGTTTTGCTGATGGTATCATGATGCCAGCTCCAGACGGGCGACAGCTGCGCCTCCACTGCATTGCCGGCTAAATCGCTGACGCTCACAAAGGGACTGGATACATAGAAATCGACGAGTTGCTCGCGCCAATGAGGCACCGTGTTGTGCAGAACGACATGCTTGGTGGGCAGCTCGTCGCCGAGGATGATGGTGGTGCGACTCTCCTCCACACCGACGCCGGGCCAGCGCGAATCGTCCAGCGTAAAATAGTGGAAATTGAAATCGGGACTGTAGATGGATGGCTTTGTGAGCAGTCGATAGACAGCCTGTTGCATCACAAATTGGCAGGATTTGAGCGCTTCCACGAGTCGCTTCTCATAGTCCTGCACCACATGCGTCTTGGCGGTGCCCGTGATACCATCGTGATGCTGAAAGAGAGATAATTCACGACGCGCCTGCTCCAGTTTGGCATTGAAGCCAGCCATCGAATCCCAGGGCTGCCAAGCATGCAGCATTTCCGCCGCCCTCAAATAGTGCATGAGCACGCGATCCATGCGCTTATGATATGGCCGGGAGGTGAAATAGCCACTCCAATAGTTATCGGCACGATCCGCATACGTGAAGAAATCACCGCTAAGCGATGGAAACTCAGCCTGACCGCTCTGATGCACAGCCTCAAAGTACTCGCCGAGCGTGCCAAATTGCGCCTCGACGTTGAAATGAGGATTGCCGTTGATGTGCTCGAAGAGCTTCTCATAGTTGACACGCTGCACCTCCCACTCGACGTTCTGCTTATAGCGGAAATCATCGCCCAGCGGCACAAGCAACACATTCGTCCGATACAATTCAGCCTTCTTTTTCCACTGATCCACGATCAATTCGGACCGAGCATCCACATTATTGTCGTCGATGGGCCGTGGCGGCTGGCGCCACGGGCAACTCAGTCCAAAGCCGCCCATGCGCTTAAAGTCGAACTGGCAGCACACCTTGGGATCGGGTCCGCAGGTGTGGGGAATATCGTACGAATAGAAGGGCATCATGTGGGTGAATAGTGCATTCTTGCCGCTCGTTTCCCACGTCTGGCGCCAGTAAAACTCTAAGTTGCGTTGCAGTGCCAGCTCCTTCTTCACAGAGTAATGGGTTCGCTGTATCAGCATGTTTTTCATGCCGCTCCTCTTCAGTATGTACGGCAAACTGGGGCTGTGTCCGAACGGATCAATTGCCCATGAGGCGGTTGGCGTCACGTTCAGATGCTCCTTCAAATAGGTCTGCCCCTCCGTCAATTGGAGCAGCACATTGCGCCAATGCGAATTGGCCTCGTCGGGCATTACCCAGCCGCCGGTAACAAACTCCAGTTGACCCTTCTTCACAATCCTGCCAAAAATAAATAAAGTGTTGCCTTCAAATTCAAGTGTTAATTTTAGACCATTTTTTATCGCTTACATTCGCATTTGCTGTTTCTTGTGCTCGCCAAGCTCGTCAAAAAATCGCGAGAAATATGAAATTTCAGCCCAAATGAATTTCATATCTGGATTCTCGCTCAGGTTTCGCAGCGCATTCGATAAGATATGTTTTGTATCTGTTAAAATTAAAGAGAATACAATCTTTGATAATAAAAACCAAACATTTCAAAACACATTTTTTGTGGTACGTCGAGCATGTTTCTAAGTTGATAAGTTCAATTTGTTGTACTTATAATTGATTGCGCCATTAGCTATCAGCTTTTTGATTGCGTTTTTTTTTAAATGATAACACAAAAGTTTCTTCATAACGTGAAAATGTTCATTTCTCTCGAAGCAAGCGCTAAGCGTTCCAACAACAGGAGCAAGTGCGACGAATGCATGCTTGGCTGCACCTGCCGGCAGATCAGAGCGCCCTTTATCGAGAGAGAGAGAGAGAGAGAGAGAGAGAGAAAGCGCTGCACAAAGAGAGCACTGTTAACGCTGGCGGCTTCGGCTGCTGTTTAAGTGCAAATAACATAGTGTGCAAATGTAATTGCAATTCAATCAACTAACAATTTCAAATATATGCAAACAATTTAATGGTTAATGTTATTAGAAAGAAACCAATTAAAATTGAGTTCGAATATTTAGCAGAAGCTGACAGGAACTATAAGTCGAAAAGTCGCTTTCTCCTTGAACTTTCTTATCAATTTCGATGCGATTTAAACTTATCATAATTTGGGAAAAAAAAATCTACATTGGATTACTAAATGCCAGAAAAGTAATTGGTTCAAAGTCCAGTTGAATGATTCAAATGTTGTATAGTACACGTATATAGATACGGATTGATTACTCTGAATTTAAAATGTATTACTCTGAATTTCTCTTATTGAAAATTGTCGCACTCATTCTATAAATAAATCTATATATATAAATATATTTATATCTATTTATATATATATCATTTGATTTGATCTCACCCGCATTGTAATAGTCCTCGAATGTTTTTATCCAGCCGGGATCGTTGTGGGAATGGGGCACAACAAACACTTTCAGAATGTGATGCTGATTGTATTTTAATGGATCATATTTAATGTTCCAGCCCTGTTTCCAGACGCCGCCGTCAACGTCTGCAAATGTCATTTTCTCGTACCATTCTAGCATTTGCACATCCACCTGGGGCACCTGTCTGACGACATCGATGCATTCGCCAGCATCGTCTGTTGTCTGTGTGTGGATTGCATTTAACGCAAGGATATCGTTTCTATTTTGTTGCCTTTTTGCGGAACGTTTGCGCATATCTTGCATATCTTGGCCAGACTCCAGCAATCCATTTTCCACTTGTTCCACTCGGCTCTCAACCGCTACAAAATTAGGCTGCCAATATAGGGGAATTTAAATATAATATTAAAATTAAACTCCACATTATCTCTCTGACACACACACACACAGACACACAGCTACCTTTTTTGCATTGGCAGCCGGCGCCGCAAAATTGAGGATTACATAGAGACTGAGAAAAATGAGTAGACAGCCACAACAAATGAGTAGCGCGAAACGACGACGAATGCGCAACATTTCTATATTAATTGCTCGGCATGAATACGCACAATGTATTAACGTTTTGCGTAGCTGCAGCTATTTAAACTATTGTGTGGACTTCCATGGATTTTCCACATAAACAAATGCCAAAGTGAAACGATTATCCGATGTTTTATCGATACACACACAAAATGATTGAGTGCTGCCAACCTATGCCAAAACTAACAGCCCTGTACACCATACACCGATTTTCCCGCAAATCACATATCGCAAATCGCGTATCGGTTTTCAGTTAAATTTACTAAAACTAGTTTTGCACTCAAAACTAGTAATTCGCAGTTCCGTTTCAAAATGTGGCATTCTATGTCCAAATTGTAAGCTCAGCCTGGCACAGAGTTTGAATGCCAGTAAAATAAATCAAAAATGTATATGTTGCTGCAAGCGTACGCAAGTTAATCGATTTCTACAGAATCCTTGACAGCATCCTTCACAGGCATATGTAACAGGCCTATGTAAACAGGCATAATCAAAATAACGTTACAAAAAAAAAAAACGAAAACAAAAAAATTAATAATAATTTCAATGCTAATTGAATCCACTCGCCAGACAGCTTTCGAATTTGTTGTCCATTGCGCCATGAAGCGTCAGAACGTAAGAACCCTGTCGCTGGTTGTGTGCACATTTACCTATTTGCTCATCGGGGCGGCAGTCTTTGACTCGCTTGAATCGCAAACGGAGGCAAAGCGTTGGGAATTTTTGCAAGGTACAAATATATATTAATGTAAACAATAATATATATCCCCGGCAATATCCAAAATCCCTACAAGCCACACTCTAATTCACACTCATCCATCCCAAAACGGAAACAAATAAAAATTATAACAAATGTAAAACAAAAATCATCTTCATCAATTTATCATTGTTGTCACAGCTCAACAGGTTTAGATTGGATTTGACTTAATTAAAATTAAAACTGTTGTTGAGCTGTGACCAATTTGTTTGTTCATTTTATTAATTGGCCATGAATTTGATATATTGATATTGGAACTCGGATCAAATTTTGCTTTCATGCCGTAGCGGTGAAGAATAATTTCGTTGAGAAATACAATGTGAGTGCCGAAGACTACCGGATGATCGAAATAGTAATAATTGAGAACAAACCACACAAAGCGGGACCTCAGTGGAAATTCGCTGGCGCATTTTATTTCGCCACTGTGGTGCTGGCAATGATTGGTAAATATTATACAAAAAATCTCAAATCGCATCAATTATATTAATTAACTAATTACAACAAACTGTACGATGTCTACCTGGTTTGAGCTCAAGTTTGTTTAAAGAGAAGAAGTCATTTATTAAACTGAAGCTCAACCCAGCTAATAATTGTACATAGAGTGATAGGTCGCCAAGTAAGTTACAAAAAAGCATTATGTTCTGGACCAAAAAACCAAAACAAACTTATTAAACTTGAGCCAAGAAGAACAACTTAAACATTTTCCTAACTTTAAAAACTACAGCTTAAAAGAACTTAAAAGAATAAAACTTTAGGCCACGTAAACATTACAAATTAAAGTAACGCTTAAAATGTGGAATACTCTATATATATATAAACAATTTTAGCTAATCGAATTGAAATTCGTTGATAATTATAGGGAATAATGTAGTGTATAAATATGTAGAATTTTCAAGGGCAATAATCGGGTTCAATAAATGCGTAAACTTATAAATGGAATGATTTCGAAAATATTATTTATGTTATGAAATTAAATTCAACTCTGACTATATTTGATTTCATATTTTAGCCAATCGAATTTAAATACGCTTATAATAATAAGTAATACATTTGTAATACATATATGGATAACGTATAAGTGAAATGGTTTCGAAAATTCTATACTATCTTATGATAGTAAAACTGCCTATATTTGATCGATTGCGATTTTAGTATCTTAAAGCAGTATGCATTTAGTCAGACTCCATGAACTATTTGTGTTATATTTCTCAAGTCTGTCAAAAGATTTCGTAAAAATACAAAAATAAATACCGATGCAGAAACAAATATCTTAAAAGTTGCATCAAAAAGAAGAAAAAGGAGACTACCGACTACTAAAGAGACAATCAGACCAATATTTATTAGGAAATTCTCGTCTTAGAAGTGTTTGGGAGTTGCATTTTTCTCAGGGATGGTTTCATTGATCTTTGCCTAATGTTGGGAGAGTAGTGATTGTTTTAATTTTTAGCGACGTTCCTAAATGTGAAAATTGTAATAAAAGTGCTTCAATACTGGCGCTTAGCCAAAATACATTATTCTGTCTACAGAATAATGACTTAAGGGATTCGTAAATTTTAGTCGGGCCTAAGTCCTATTGAGCATATTTGGGGCATGCTGGTGAAAAGAATAAGGAAACATTTCATAAAAGGAATCATTAAATTGGGCATAGTTAGTTGAATAGCTCAAAACAAAAAAAATCAGCATTTTGGCTATAAGTCATTTTTATTTTTCTATATCTTCTAGTTATAATATTTAAGATATGTTATATTAAAACTAATCTTATATATGGAAACAATTTTTTGTTTTAATAAAAGTGTAATTTTGGTTATTTTCTGATTGTTATAATAATTAGGATATGTGATTTAATAATAATAATAATAAAATAATGATTAATATTAGTTATGCAAAGAATTTTTGGTTTTAAAATGAGACTTAAGACAAGTTATAGAAGAAAGAACCTGAAAGATATGAGTGTACGCATAATTATTGGTCTGTACACATAAAGTTTAAAAATACTAGAACGATTATAGACTTATTAGTTCACTATAGGCATCGTTTACGGTACGTAACAATATTCGTAGAATTGCGTGAATATTTATTGGATTATGTATATATTTTTCAGGATATGGACACTCGACCCCAACCACTGTGGCCGGAAAGTTATTCACAATGTTCTATGCGATGGTATTATTATCAGACTAAAACGCTTTGCCAATAGTTGCATAATTTCATGGGAACACATGTCTAACAGATCCTTTGTCTTCCAGGTGGGCATACCCCTCGGCTTGGTTATGTTCCAGTCGATTGGTGAGCGCTTGAACAAGTTTGCGTCCGTGATAATAAGGCGAGCCAAACGAGCCAGTGGAGCGAGATGCACGGATGCCACCGAAATGAATCTTATGTTGGCCACTGGCATGCTCTCCTCGATAATCATCACGACGGGCGCAGCAGTGTTCTCTCGCTATGAGGGCTGGAGTTACTTTGACAGCTTCTACTATTGCTTTGTCACGCTGACCACCATCGGATTTGGAGACTATGTGGCTCTGCAGAATGACCAGGCGCTGACCAACAAGCCCGGCTATGTGGCCCTCAGCTTGGTATTCATCCTGTTCGGTCTGGCTGTGGTCGCTGCCAGTATTAATTTGCTTGTGCTGCGCTTCATGACAATGCAAGTGATTCTAGATCAGTGCCGGAACTTGTCTAGTTGCAATTGGTTGCCTGGAAGAGTATTCATTATGTTTTCTTTGCTTGCAGGCAAGCCGAGGATGCCAAGCGGGATGAGCAGGATGCCCAGAATCTGGCTGCTGGCAATCAGCCGCTCACATTTGATGACGAGTCCACGTACAACATGCACGGCAAGCTGCTCGAAAATAACTATACGACGGAGAATGATGAAACCGCTTCGCTGTGCTCCTGCACCTGTATGGGCGGCACACGTTGTCTGAACCACGAGCAATTTATCGATCCGGATTTCCAGCCCATGGATATCATTGAGAGCACTCTGTGCCTCAAACGCGCATCCGTCTGATATATTCGGCAGCGTGTTTTTGCGCCAGATTTGGACTCAACATAAGTGCCAAATTCTATTGGTCTTTACACATGAGTATCTAGGCCAGTTAATGGCAGCCACCCTGTAGCTTTTCTCGAGAGACCCACGTAGACAACCCAACTTAACCCAACCACCACACTCCAAGTAGATACAAACTAAGAAAACTAAGAAACTTCAAGTAGATACAAAAAGATAAGTCTATCTTGGGCATGCCCAAGATTAAATACCCTCGCAGAGTGCTTATATTATGAGAGCTATATGATATAGTTGTCCGATGTTGTTAAAAATCTTGCAATATTTAGCGCTTGTAATTATTTTAGTTGGGATATTTTGGGACTCAAAAAAGTTGTTTATCCAACAACTCATTTATCGATCAATAGTTCTTATGTCAGCTACTTGATGTAGTTGTCCGATCCGACTGTCTTTGACTTATTTACTGGCCAAGCAAAATAGTTGAATATATTCTAGGTCTCATCAGAATTGTTCGTTTCTATTTTGAGCAGCTTTATATTTTACATAATTGGTTTTGGCTTAATGCTGATCAAGAATATATTATTCACATTATGGCAGATCTGCAAGGGTATATAAAAAGTCAGAAATATCACAGATTGCAACAAATCCAAACTATTTATATGTACAACTTGTATTCTTAAAGAAACGCCCAAAAAATAAAAAATATATATATATCTATCTATGATTTTAAATCGAAACGAATGTTATTTCCACAAAATCTGTATATATATATCTCAGATCAAAGTAGTCTGCCACTGGAGAGTAGGATATCGGAAATGTGGCAGTCTCATTCCAACATCGATTCAACTACGATACACGTATTAAAAAAAATAAGGAAAAATTAAACGTGAAAAATCGGTTGGAAGCCAGCTCAGATTCAGGAACTGTTTTTCAAGCAAAATTCAATTTTTTTAAATATTTTTTTTGTCGTTGTAAATAAAAGATGCGCGAAATTGTGCACATTCAGGCGGGCCAATGCGGCAATCAGATCGGTGGCAAGTTCTGGGAGGTGATCTCCGATGAGCATTGCATCGACGCAACGGGGACATACTATGGCGACAGTGATCTACAATTGGAGCGCATCAATGTCTACTACAATGAGGCAACAGGCGCCAAATATGTGCCACGGGCCATACTCGTCGATCTGGAGCCGGGCACCATGGACTCGGTGCGTTCGGGTGCCTTTGGACAGATCTTTCGGCCCGATAACTTTGTCTTTGGGCAGTCGGGTGCCGGCAACAATTGGGCCAAGGGTCACTATACCGAAGGTGCCGAACTTGTCGATTCGGTGCTGGATGTGGTGCGCAAGGAATCCGAGGGATGCGACTGTCTACAGGTGGGTATGCTGTTGGCGGATCGGGGGTTTGATTTTTAATCAAAAGTGGTTAATCGATGTGTAATCGCTTTGACAGGGCTTTCAGCTGACGCACTCGCTGGGCGGTGGCACCGGATCGGGCATGGGCACGTTGCTCATCTCGAAGATCCGTGAGGAGTATCCCGATCGCATAATGAACACATTCTCAGTTGTGCCCTCGCCCAAGGTGTCCGATACCGTCGTGGAGCCCTACAATGCCACACTGAGCGTGCATCAGCTGGTGGAAAATACGGACGAGACGTACTGCATCGACAATGAGGCGTTGTATGACATCTGTTTCCGCACCCTGAAGTTGACGACGCCCACCTACGGTGATCTAAACCATTTAGTATCGGCCACCATGTCCGGAGTGACGACCTGCTTGCGTTTTCCCGGCCAGCTGAATGCCGATCTGCGCAAGCTGGCGGTCAACATGGTGCCCTTTCCACGGCTGCACTTCTTCATGCCGGGCTTTGCGCCGCTAACCTCGCGCGGATCTCAGCAGTATCGCGCCCTGACCGTACCCGAGCTGACACAGCAGATGTTCGATGCGAAGAACATGATGGCCGCCTGTGATCCGCGACATGGTCGCTATCTGACCGTGGCGGCCATCTTCCGGGGTCGCATGTCCATGAAGGAGGTGGACGAACAGATGCTCAACATTCAGAACAAGAACAGCAGCTTCTTCGTCGAATGGATACCCAACAATTGCAAGACAGCCGTCTGCGATATACCGCCACGTGGCCTCAAAATGTCGGCCACATTTATTGGCAATTCGACGGCGATTCAGGAATTGTTCAAGCGTGTCTCCGAGCAATTTACGGCCATGTTCCGTCGCAAGGCCTTCCTGCATTGGTACACCGGCGAGGGCATGGACGAAATGGAGTTCACCGAGGCCGAGAGCAACATGAACGATCTGGTTTCCGAATATCAGCAGTACCAGGAGGCAACCGCCGACGAGGAGGGTGAATTCGACGAGGATGAGGAGGGCGGCGGTGATGAATAGTCTCCAAACACTAAAAAATCTCTCTCTCTCTCTCTATACTAACGTACGAACACAGAATCTCAATCCAGAACACAACAGAATATACTTTATACTAAATACGCTTTACACTGTCCACTTATGTTGTGCATTTGTTACATAGTTGCAAGCTAGCAGTAGTTTCTAACAGTACGTTACACACACACATTCACGTTACACACACACATTCACGTTACACACACACATTCACGTTACACACACACATTCACGTTACACACAAATAAATTGTCACTGCAGCGCAAATGTTAATATCGTAAAATATTCTTGGGTCTGGCAACGCCGCTGCGGCCGTTGTCAAAAATCGTTCAATGATGTCCAATTCATGGATCGAAACGCCTCGCAGCTCGCGAAGCCGCTTTTTCAAAAGACGCAAACGAATTCGACCACATCCAATTGTCGAACTACGGAAGCTAGCCAGCACCGAGATGCCCAGCGCTGAGATGCCCAGCATCAGTGAGCAGCAGCTGGCAGCTAGAGAGGAACAGTGTCCTCCATCTTCGCCGGTAGCCAATAAACTCCCCAGCAGCAATTAGCGAGCATTTTTATCGTTTATTGAGATGTCTGACAAATGTATTTTGTTTGTGACAGGAACGGCGGCTGAGCGGAGAAGCTTAAACATAAATTAAATTAACTAGCACAAAAACACGTTTGAGATAATTCATAAAATATACACATATAGCTGAAAACCAAACAAATTACAAGAGGGAATGTGATTCTCGAGCCTAGACATCGTCGAAGAGTCCCCGTGGTGGCGGTCCAACAATGCGACGCTCGTTCTCCTCGTGGTAGACATCCTGCGGCTCGTTGCTGGTGCCGCGGAAACCGATCTGCATTTGGGTGCTGACACCGAAACGATCGTTGATCTCATCCGATAGGGAGCGTGGCACACCCAGCGCCGAGGAGGAGGCAACCGCCGCATAATCATAGCTAACATCGCCATCGCGCAGCAGGCCATCGGCTGGCGATCGTTGGCCAGCGGTCAATGGAACACCAGCAATGCCGCCACTCCCGCTGCCCAAGCCACCAGCTCCGCTGCGGTATTTGCCAATGTAATCGTGGCTGCTGGCCAAGGTGTCCGGCCTGGTAAAGTCGCGCCGTCTGGCCATTGCCTCCTCGGCACGCTGGCGGCGTCGCTTCTCGCGCGCTATCAAATCCTTGCCCTCCTGCACCAGTTCCGTGGCAATTGTTTCGTGCTGCAGGAACTGTTGAAAGCCCAAAGCGTTCAACGCACGACTGCCCAAACTGAACCAGGTGGCCAAACAAAATGCCAACATGCACATGGGAAAGTAGATGTTGAAGCCATTCGCAATGATACCAATAACGTCCATATGTCCCATGATTTGTGTATAATCCGTTTCCATAATTCGCTGCAAGCGTAATCAAATTAATGAGTTTCTTTCAATTCTTTTCAATAAGAAAGAACTCACCTTCTGTATTATGTGCGAGTCCATGTGGATTAGGCCCAAAAAGTTGAGGCACATGGGCGGCGTGAGGCGACAGAGGAGCATGCCACTGAAAATGAGACTGTGCTCGTTAGTTTGATGATGCGGCGCCAGATAGTACAGATTGAGGAATCGGATGCGCAATATTGTCGAATAGGTGCAGTAGAAGAAATAGCAGAGGACGATCATCGAGAATAGCTCAATGGTGAAGAAATCATTGCTGGCATTGGCCACATTGATCACGTTCGCAAACACGGAGAGCACCGGATGGCGACTGAAGAAGGTCAGCTCGCTCCAGACGACCATGGCGGACATGGTGGCCGTTAGCACGCAGAGCGCCTTGAGGAATGGCGCTTTGAGTAGACACTCCCAGTACCATTGAATGGTGGCACTGTAACAGATGCGCTCCAGCTGCGTACGCTGGCGTGGAAACTCGGTCTTGAAGCGGCGCTCGGCTGAGTGGATGTTGCGTGCCACATCCTCCAGATGCAGTACCGCATTCACCTGAACGCTCCACAGTGCCTCGGTGCGTTGCAGCGTTTGCAGCGACTTAATCACCTGCTTGTGGATGCGCACGAGTGCCTTCTCTGATGGCACAATTGTCGAGGTGGTGCCGCCCAGGCCGTTGCCACCACTCCGGGTGAAATTGCGTGTGGCACGCTCCTGCAGCTCGATGGGCACTTTGCGCAGAATGGTCTCGACGCAGGGGCGCAACTCATGATTGTTGGGCACCGCCCGACTGATGCACTGCAGCGACTCCAACACGTCGTCCACATGCTCCTCGGCCTCGGCCTTGTCCGTGCTGAGTTTGGCGGCCTTAAAATATGCATATTGCAGCGTGAATCCCGGCTTGGCATTGTTCCAAAGCGAACGTGGCACCTCCACCAGCGCATAGCCCAGCAACAGGATGAGCAGGAATAAGCCCCAAGTATTCGAGGCCGACGAGGCGATCGCCTTCAGCTTTGGCCAATCCAACGACACGCCCTTCACCGCAATATAGATGAGCAAAACGCCGCAGATGAACAAATACGATCCGTAATAAATGGCGTTCTCGATCAGGGCCGACTTCAACTTGCCCTTAATGGTGAAATCGCCTGCTTTCAGATACGATTGCATCAGCGGCATTATCAGCCATGTGAGAAACTGCGAACTCCAGTAGATGATGCGCCACAAATTGGGGAACACAGATTTTGGGACCATGCCCCACGGTTCCTGGCATTCATCTATATGCACATTATTGCCACTTATGGTTGTCATTGTTGTTGTTGCGTTGCCGTCGCCTGCCACTGTTGTTGTTGCCACAATCGGCATGTACCTCTCCTCACACTGTCGATACAAAGTCTGCAATTGGGATTCAATGATTATTTTCTATTGCTCAAAATTATGTTGAGATAATTACAATTCTAACAGCATCAGTCGCTTGACATTTATTTGTACAAAGTGTACAAAATAAATTAAATTAAAAGTAAAATGTTATAATTAAATTTATATATAAAAAAGACAGGAAATATTTACAAGATATTTAAAACTCGGAGCAACCCACTGAGATAAAAAAATAAATAAAAACACAAAATAATAAATAAAAATAGTATGAATTATTTAGTTATTCACGAGAGGCGTTGAAAACTGAGTTCTTAATTATAGAAATAGAGGACTCTGTATTGATAAAGTCTTTTATATTGACGAGATGAAAGTAATTTCGATCAATCGATTTCAGCATTTAGTAGTTTAACTACAAACATAAATAAATAGTTTAAATAGTTTTAATTTTTAAACAGCATTTTTTTTATAGCTTTTCCAAAAATCTGCATAGATAAGAATTTCAGCAATTTCTGAGCAGTGCCAATTAGCGAGTGGCCACTGTATCTATTGCTATTGTTATTGTTACGTTATGTTGTTACTTACGGAGGTGACATCCAGCGGTATCGTGAACACGATCAGAAAGGAGAAGCACCAGGCTGTTAGCACGGACAGGGTGACAAGGATGTGCTGACGTGGAATGTTGCCATATCGATAGAGCATCAAACTGGCCAAGCACAGCGCCCCAATAATTCCAAATGTTAACAGATATGCCATCTCGAATCAGTTTCCTTTTTGTTCCTCAAATCTTGTTGTTGTTAGAATTATTATTGTTGTTGTTGTTGTTGCGCTTTGTGCGTTTCTGTTGCAGCTGACGCGCAGTCTCGCGATGCATTTCCTCCAGACTCTGCAATGCCTGCGACTTGAGTGGCATCAGGCGCGGCTTGACAAACACCAGCTCCGTTTTGTGCTCGAAAAACAATTTTCCCGTGCTGGGCTCAATTAATTCGATTTTCTCATTCACGTTTCGCAGCAGATCGCGTTCCGTTGTCGTCGTCGACATGCTAACAAATACGCTCGCACATCCACATCGATCATCAATATTAATCCGCCAGCTGTAATTTTCTCCAAAATATGCGTCACTGAATCGTTTTGATAAGCGAATATTGTTGTTTATTTTTTATTGTTTTCGGCTTATTGAGTGAGTCCAAAAAAAATCAATAAATATCTGTGGGCACCCAAAAACCTTAACATTAAGATTTGGCTAAAATGTACTTGAGCCGAACAGCTGTTGCTTAACATTATATATCGATTCACTTAGTACTCACTATCGGAAGTTGTGTCTTTGATCAATCGAATCAATAATCGATACGGCGCAATTGTGAATGCTGAGTTGGCAACAAGTTGGCAGCCCTGTCTCTCTCGATTCAATTGTTTTTGTTTTGTTGGCAAACAAGTTGTCAAAATTGTTCTATTTACTTTCGACAAATAGAAAGCGTTATCATTTGCTAAAACTGTCAAGCAGCCATGGATGCAGGTGCCCCAGTGAACGATGCGGACAAGTCGAACACCTGCCGCACTAGCGGCGACGGCATGGAACAGACGGAAATCGTCTCAGGCAACACGAAAGTGGAACAAGTCGAAGAACAATCCACAAATGCCGCTTTCCCCGTTCCCAATAAGGTCAAACGACCTCAGTTGTCGCGCAAGGACAGCACCGTAGTCCAAGAATCCGTTATTACGCATATGCAATCAGCAACTTCAGTCGTGCAACCCCTGCCCCTGCCCCTGCCTGGACTTCACACGCTTTATCGGCGTCCGGAAACCGTTAGTCGCAGTTTGGCGCCAGCGCCGCCCAAGGGTGAACTGGTGCAGTTGAAGCCCCGGCTGGTGAACACCTCGGAGCCAGTGCCGGAGCACAAGAAAACGAAGCCACCGAAATTCGTGCCTTACGAGCCATATCCAGGTGCCGTGAATCCCATGACGCCAGCCCAGCATAAAATGCTGCGCGTTACCAAGAATAATTTGGATATTGGCGTTCTCGCGGATCAGGTGTCCACATTGCGCACCCAGGAACTGGATCTGGTTGTGGAGCCTGCAGAAGGCAAGCCCGAAGATAGCAGCAGCGAGGAACTGCAGCGAATGCAGCTGGAATTGAAAAAAATGCGCGAGGAGCGCGATCATTTTCAGGCACAGTATAAATTCCAGACGCAGGTCAACGGCGAGCTGAAGAGTCTGCTGGTTGCCTCCGTTGGTGAGGATCTGCAGACGCGTGTCAATCTGCTGACCGAGGACAAACTGCAACTGGCACGCGCCCTGCTCGACACGGCCAACAATCTGACGACGCATACGGAACAAATCGAATTCTTGGCCAGCCAGTGCGAGGTGTGGCGCTCGAAGTTTTTGGCCAGCAGCGTTATGGTCGAGGAGCTGGCGCGCTGGAAAGCTGATCTCACGCACAAGAACCAAATGCTTAACGAGTCAACCAAGCAACTGCTGCACACCACTCACCAAATACGCGAAATCCAACTGGACATGCTCAAGCAACTGAAGTTCCTGGCCAAAATACGCTATCTGAATCTGCCCGCCACGGATGTCATCAGCCTGAGCGCCGAGAACTTGAACATACTGCAGCGCATGGTGCTCCACTCGGGTCTGGGCATTCCCGAGGCGACCCTAAAACTGTCCAGCGCCACAACGAGCCCCCTCTGCGAAGCAGAGAAATACGCCGTACAGGTTGAGTTGATCAGTGCTCAGATATAGAAATGATTTATATATATATGTGTATTTTTAGGCCCTGGACTTCATTAGCCAGCCACTAATGGCCACGGATGAAGCTATCCGAGCGCTATTCGGACAAGTGCAGCGTCCACATTACATGCCATCGGTCAGCGCTCCACAAGGAGACACTTCTACTCCTAATCAATAGCAATTTTCAAATTGTACAAAAATATAGAATTTTTATAGTTTTTAAACATAAATATAAATTTGACAATCAATCATTTGCCAGCTTTTCAGTAAATACACAAAATCTTCATAGAGAGGAGCGAAGGTTATGGTATGGGTTTCGTAGAGGATATGAAGGATATGGATATCTCCTGTGGATGCATAAGCTTGTGTGTCTGTAAGCAATATAATTGTTAATTCTTGATTCACTTATTAAAATATTTTAAAACAAGAATGAATGTTTGTCTTAGAAGTCCGGAGTTATTCTCCTGACATCTTGACTTTAGATCGATCCTATAACAATATTATTTTCAGCTTCGGACTAAAATTTAAATGTCAGCAGATTTTATCCGGTTTTCGGCGCGCTTTCTCATTTTGTTTATACCTAAAAATAAAAAGGTAAAATGGGTTTAATGATGTTGTCCATTTGTATGCAGAAGAAAGCATTTCGCCTGAATTTCGAGCCAGAATTGCGTTTCTAACTTTAAGCGTAGTATTTAACCAGAATTCAAACCATCGTCAAAAAGCTTTTTTAATCATGATTTTTACATGAATTTCGAACTTGAATCGGTTTTCCAACTATGAATATAAGATTTATGAATCAGCCAACCATGGTTAAAAGACCCTTGATTTTGAAAATTTGATCAATTTTGACAGTTACGAGATTAGGAAATTATGCTAATTTCTCAGAGTATAATTTTTATATGGAATTAGAACTACAATCACGATTTCAACTTTGAATGTAGGCTTGAACTAGAGGCTAAACCTCCATTTCGATAATTTGCTGTAGAAGTATGAAAAAAAAAAAACAAATTTTGATTCACATTCACCGGTCTTTTGACAGGACACTGTAGAGTAAGAGATTACCTGGATAACCTAACTAAAATCGGTAAGAGAATCTAACGATTTTACCTTAGCAAGAAGAAGATGCATATCCTAGGAAAAGATGTCTTTAGAAGAAAGACTCAGAAATTCTCAAGTCTTAAATCTGTGCAAGAAAATGGTTTGATGGAGAAGCTAATGGCTAATAATTACACAATAATAAGAATAATAAATGGAAATTGTAGGTGGAGAAAGAATACACTCGAAATCTTTTACGCAATTATTAATTTATTTTTGCCTTATGAATACCAATTATTTTTAACAAATTTATAACTGACTTTGGCACATTGTGTTCATTGGTAGTCATTGCATCGCTGTTGCTGTGGCAGACAAACACTTAGGGATGCCCACAAATAAGATTAAGTACTTGCCACAATACAAAATATTTGCATTTTGATTTCATTGCCGGAAAGCGCCTTGGCAAAATCTGCCCGAAAAGCAACCGGTAGTTCTTGCTGCGCTGTCGGCGTCAACGGCGACGGCGACTGCGACTGTTGCGTCGCTGTTATTGGGCTGGCGCATGTGCTCGAAGGTGCTGGCCAAAAAATTCAGTCTTTGTTAATCGGATGCTGGAGCCAGTTGTCGTCGCGTTTGTCCAGCTCGTGGGCCGACTGCGGGTAGAACAAGTCGAAAACGAAACGTGACGCGCAAAATACGTCCGATTTGAAATTAAGTAATACTAATTCATTGATAAATTGAATATTATATTTAAAATAGATTCAGTCAAAGACTGTATTCATTTAATTCATTATTCAATTTTATAAGTATGCTTTTAAAAATAGATTTAGTTGAAGACACACGCTACACTAAATATGCATAATTTAAAAAAAAAAAAAGATAGATATAATATTAATAACCAAAAGCTTTTAGCTTTGTTGATAAAGCTAATAAACAAGACTTTAAATACATACTAATATGTATTTACTGTCACACTGCAAATTAGTGAATAACCGATGCAAAATACCCGAAATCAAATCGGAGAGTGCAATGTTCGCCGAAATAACTTAAAAAACAAAATCAAAACAGTTAAAACCAATATAAACAAAAAAACAAATGTGAAGAAAAGCAAAAGCAAAAATGTGGCGGGCAACATTTATTAAATGTCAATTAAAACGTGTTTTAAATGCACAAACGATTTCCAGTGCCTGATTAACAAAATACACAGTTAATTGGCATCAAGTTAATGTGCAAATCTGCCTTTTGGATAACTTCTGGAATTTATCATCGTTGATTTTGCGGCTTTTGAAATTGCTAATGTTATCTAAGAAATCGCTTAAGCTATATTCATTAAATCAAATCGGTACAAACTTGATGCCAACTTTAGGCAAGGCCATAAAGTGAAAAAAGTTAAAGTTAAATTAAAATAAAATAAAATAAACAAATAAAATTAAATACATTTCATATGCAAAAACTTTCCTTAAGCAAAAACACTTTATGGTCATCGCCGATGCATAACTAATGGATGCGATTGCGATGACCACTGCCCATTGCCCACATTGGAAACGATGCCACAACCCAAATCGGCAAAAGCACCGTCCACAAATATTATTAGTTAATGAAACCGATACAGGTCTACAGTGACCAAACCAGTTTCAATATGATAATAAAATCAAATTCGGCAACATTCTTTAAAATAAACATACACATTTTGCATAAATATTTATAAGGAAACATTATGCTGCTTTTTATTTTAACCAAACAAAAAGATTGTCATCGTGAATCTATTAAAGAACATTTTCTTTTGTGTGGATAAATTCAAGTAGATAAATAATAAAATGCATATTTTAATAATTATATGCATTGTGTATCAATTGAACAATTGAAGCTCAATCTCCAAGTGTCCTGTTGCTAGTCAAAATTGTTCATTTAAATTCCACTTTGCAATGCAAATGAATTTTCAAAAACTCAACAGATCCATTAAAGCCATAAAATTCCAGTTGGCCTGCCAACCTGTGTTCTGCTCGAAATTTATTTAATTTATGTATTTGAAAGAAAATTGTTCCAGCCGATTCTAACGAAAAATGAATGTGCAAACTTTACGCATTATATCAATAAATATCAAAAGTCAAGAAACTCGAATATATTGAACTTGACTTTAATTAAAATTTATATTACGAATTGCTCATATGTATGGAAATAATAATAAGTCAATTGGCATCTTTATGTCTTTCTCTCATAGCTGTCTGTCCCATTGGACAAGCAAATGACATTTTATCTGTGGCATTGAAGACAAACACACACACACACACACGCACACACACAAGCAGACAGAGGCAGACAGAGGCAGACACATGTCAGCAATGATGCTGGCAACAAATATGTCCACAATGGGCGAAGGTGTGGGCATGGATACGCCCTTTTTTCCAGAGCTGCAGAAGTTTCACAATGAGAAATTCTTTTTGAATTTAACACAAGTGCTAAACATATCCGCGGACAACTTGACCAGCCTGCTGCACGGATTGGAGCCGCATAGTCGACTAGAGCAGCCGCATGCCACAATGACCACAAGCATGGGACTGCTGGCCACCCTGACCGTTGGATATGCGCTCATCTTCGTGGCCGGCGTGTTGGGCAATCTGATTACCTGCATTGTCATCTCTCGTAATAATTTTATGCACACTGCTACCAACTTCTATCTGTTCAATTTGGCCATCTCGGATTTGATTCTCTTATGCTCGGGTTGGTGTTATTGCAGCAGCAGCAGCAGTAGCTGAAGTTTTGTTTTCCCCCCAATTTACTAACTGTGGATCTGTGCTCGTAGGCATGCCACAGGATCTGTACAACTTGTGGCACCCGGACAACTATCCGTTCTCTGACGGCATTTGCATACTGGAGAGCGTGGTGTCCGAGACGGCAGCCAATGCCACAGTTCTGACAATTACGTCGTTTACCGTGGAGCGTTATATTGCCATTTGCCATCCATTCAGGTGAGTGAAAGCGACAACACTTGGCAAATGACCAGTTGGCCAGTTTGCTGTTTGCTGTTTGCTGTTTGCTGTTTGCTGGCCTTGCCATTGAGTTGATTGAAGTCAGTTACCCGCAGGCAACACACCATGTCGAAATTGTCGCGTGCCATCAAGTTCATCTTTGCCATTTGGATAGCTGCCCTGTTGCTCGCCCTGCCCCAGGCTACACAATTCTCCGTTGTGAATCAGGGCACAGGTTCATCATGTACGGTAATATACCCTAACACCGCCAAAGTGCCCTAACAGATGCCCAAAATGTGCATACATAATGAGTCAATTGTCAAAATGATCATTATTTCAATGTGATTGATCAATCAGAAAAGAAATCGCTTTAAATTTGAGAAAATTGCCGAAAGTTAAAAAATTGACACAGCGAAACGAAAGAATTTTTCTAACTTTTATTTTATTTTTTTATTTGTTGTTTTTGTGTTTTTCTCATTTCTATTATTCAGCAATATCAGATTTCGATTATAATCAAAAGTTTATTACTACAAAATATAAAAAAAGTCTTTAACGTTTTAACAAATTTTGCTTTGTATAATTATTAATTCATTGTATTATTTTATTATGAATTTATTTATATGAACATTTCAAAAAACCATAAAATGTTTATCGGTTTCAGTTCGACTTTTGTGTAGAAATTTATTATAATATTAAAATGTTAGCTTCATTTTCGATTATACAATTATTCGAGCGAATTTTGTGTCTTGCCGCCGGTTGGTTTGTCTGTTAGAGTATTAATATATTTTTATTATTTGTTTACTTGTATTGTATATTGTATATGAAACTTTTCGTTTTTTTTTTTTTTTGTTTTGTCGACAGATGAATAACGACTTTTCTGCACATGTATTCGCTGTATCCGGTTTTCTTTTCTTTGGCGGACCGATGACCGCCATCTGTGTGCTCTACGTGCTCATCGGGATCAAGCTGAAGCGTAGCCGTCTGCTGCAGGCACTCCCACGTCGCAGCTACGATGTTAATCGCGGCATCAGCGCCCAGACCCGCGTCATCCGGATGCTGGGTGAGTTCACACGCTGCCCACTTGTGCAATGACAAGTTTAAGAGTTTAAAACTTTGACATTTGTGCAGTTGCTGTGGCCGTCGCCTTCTTTATTTGTTGGGCGCCATTCCATGCACAGCGCCTGATGGCGGTCTATGGTTCGACATTTGGCATTCAGTCGCAGTGGTTCAACGATGTCTTCAACATACTGAATTACACATCCGGTGTGCTCTACTTCCTCTCCACCTGCATCAATCCGCTGCTCTACAACATCATGAGCCACAAGTTTCGCGAGGCTTTTAAGGTAATTATGCAGCTCAAAGGCACGCAATATTAATTGATTTTGCTCTTATGGCATTTTGCAGGTCACGCTGGCCCGTCAGTTTCGCCTCTCTGTGAAAAACCAGGGCCTGGGACTCCCCCACACCTACAGCGCCCTGCGGCGCAATCAGACAGGCTCGCTGCGTCTGCACACGGTAAATAAACGCTTAAGTGAACTTTCAATAACGAGAAAATTAACTATTAACCGAAAAACCACTAATTACACAAAGTGGGGGTTTTTTTAAAAATCAATTTCAACTTTGTCATGTTCAAAATGCAATTTAATGTGTAAATATTTAAGCTGCCTTTTATGTAAACTAATTTGGACATTTTAAGTGCATGATTTTTACATATTGACTTACATACATATATACACATATATACATATATATATATATATATTCTTTTTTTTTGCTTTAAAAAAGGTATATTGGTGCCCAAGACCTAAGTTTATTTTGCGCTTATTTCCTCAATTTTTTTGTTTTTAATTCAGGGACCCCAACAAAAAAAGGACTCGCTGTCATTTGCAACACATTAGGTGTGGCACTCATAAGAAGTTTAAGATTTCTGAAAGTTTGACAAACAGAATTTATTGGCAAAAGGTCTTAATTCGAAATAAATAATACAGCTGTGTTGCTGGTGGAGTTGATAAAAATGATTTGGGGACCTTTTTATAGGTCTTACAAGATAAGTTAATAAGCGCGTGTAAAAACTTTGGGCGCTTTGGGGCATTGTTAGGCATCAGAGGATTCAGACGACGTTATTTTACATCTTTAATTTGGCTTAGTAAAATTACATGTTCACAATATGTTTGCTATGGCTTTTTGCAATATACATTTGAAGCAAGTTATATTAAAATTTGATCACATTTGCTCATGGCTAACATTGTATTCCATATTTATGATTATGTTACACATTCGAATTTAGCACATTTCTTGAACTCTTCATCTGCAGGATAGCGTGCGTACAACAACGACTTTGACGACGCTAAATGGCAGCAGCAGCAATGGAGGCGCCTCTGCTGCCGGTCGCAATTCACAGCGTTTGCAACGTGGCTCATTTAGCAGCTCGCATGCCACACTATTGAGTGCACAGAGTCGCAGCCGACAGGATTTGTTTGCCGCACGTATTGCAGGATCTGAGCCACTAACAACAACAGCATCAGCAGCAGCGACGCATCCACACCCGCATCCACATCCGCATCGAACGCTGCAAAGTCAGATTTCGCAATTATCGTCGGTGGGCGATGCGAATTCATTGTTGGAGGCGGATCTGCAGTGGCCTGAGGAGCAATTCGAGCTGTCATCCGCGGTACCAGCCAAGTGCCAGCGTCCAACTGCAGCTGGTCCGACGATGGGCTCAATCGATGAGTTGAGCTGCCAATCTGGCGTTGGTGTCGATGCAGCTGCCGCCACTGGTGTGGGCTTGTCCCGTTCGCGTTTGAAGTTGACCCGTATCACGCGACAACCTCAACTGCAGGCGACAGCAAGTGACGAGGCAACTCCCATTGCAACGGGCAGTGGCAAAGTGCGCAAGGCAAAAGCCAAACGCTCCAGCACTCTCAAGGGTCTTAAGGTCAAATTGAATTGGCTAGGCAGGCACAAGGAGAGTGCTGACATCGAGCATACCAATAATGCCAGCCCAAAGATGCCGTCGAGTGTGACACCAACAGCGCCGAATGGTGTCGACTGAGCGCCACTTCAACTTAGCCAGAGTTCATTCCACGACGCAATGGGACTAGGGGGAACTGGGGGACAGCGGCACACATACATGTGTACGCGTAACTGTGATAAGAACAGCAGAAGCAACTCGGCTGATTCCAGCAAAAAGCAAAAAAGAAAACCACAACAAAAAAACAAAATTATATTCAATTCCAAGCTGTGGCCAAACTAATGGTCTCGTCAATTCCTAGTAAATACTTAGTCATAAATATATAGATACACACACTTGCTTCATGTTGTGTGTGTGTCTGCGTGTTATTCGTTATGTAACTGATCTGCTCAAATGTGTCTCTCTCAATAAAGCAGCCACAATTCACTTAAGTTTCTCAATCATACTTATGTCTCGGCGAGGGTCCAACGCAGTCCCCATCCTAATCTATTCCATTCAAGTTTTGAAAGCTAACCCAACTAAACCATAATCCTTGGCAATTAAGATGTCTATCGGGCACATGAATTCGCTTTTGGTCCACAGTCTAGACGAGGGCAAACCGTTCGAGTGGCTTAAACGAGGCGGCACCCACTGTAAAATACGCATCAGTCATTTTAAAATTCACGACACTGTGTGTGTGTGTGTGTGTGTGTGTGTGTGTGTGCTTATGCTCTGGAATAATTAGAGTAAGTAATTAGATAAATCGTTGGAGCTCTCGTCCTTTCAAAGTAGTTTTAAATGCCGTCTGAAGTGGCTGAGTAAACAAGGTAAAATATGAGCTTTAACAGGCAACTTGTTTCGCAGTAACAATCTGTGTGTAATCTAAGATAAACACAGACATACATATCATCTAAGTCCATCTTCTAACGTTGGCAGTTATTTGATAGAGTGTTATGATCCGGTTGTTTCCGACTGCCCTCAGCAAAATGGCGGATGTCTTTAAGGTTTCATAAATATTGTCCTCAAGCTGAGGGAGATATGCGCATATAAGACTAAAAAATTGCACAGATGGAGGACATGGCTATATGGATTCGCCTAATGATACTGATTATATATATACTTTAAGGGATCGGTGACGTCTTCTTCAAGTGAAAATACCATCTACAAGGGTAAGAAAGCTAATCAGCTCAGATTTCGTTTAGATTTGGTGCAATTGAATAAGTACAAACCCTTTTAGGAGTAGACGATTAAAGCATGCTGTTTGTATATATTCAATAATGACAAATTCTACATACTCATGCTGTCATCATCATAATACTAATATATATGTCTATTATATGCAAGTTCAATATATCTGCGCTAAACAATATGTTTAATTATGCACGACATTTTAGCGTTTATTTAAAATGCATTTAAATTTTTTAATTCTTAGTTATGAGACGCATCCCAAGCTGGTTTTCTTTAAAAATAGATCTTTATTATAATATTATACATTTTTTTTTAACTTTTTATTTAAGACAACTTGAAACCAATTGCCATGCATATATAATTATTGTACATGACGCACGGCAAGCCAATGAAATTGATGACAATAAATAAATGAATACTAAATTAGACCCATAGATATGTTAATTGTATATGCCTAGAGTTCAGCTACCTTTCAGAAAAGAAGTATACCCTCCTTGCTCCTTGATGCAGGGTATTTTTAATGCCAGCAGTGCACTTTATGCACATTTAGTTTTAATTATCAGCAGTAAAATTAATTTAGACATGAAATTAAACCGCGCGTGGGGCATAATAAATAGCAATGCAATTTTAAAAATTGGAGCATGTGTTTAAAAGTTGTTGGTTATATATATATATATATATATATATATATATATATATGTGCAGTTCACAGCATTACGTATGATTCCAACCGCAACACTATGCAATTTTGCTAAATGAAAGGATATTTGTAACTGGCACCTGGCGCTCTCAAATATGCAAAACATGCTGCAGGACATGCAAAATGGTAGACATTATTAAAATGGGGGTTTCATTAGATTCTCTATGCTGTCAAAATAGTTTGCGTTATATAATAATATATGAATAATTTGTTGAGCCACTTATGAATTTTACTTTATATACCAAATATACGTAATGAGTCACCGAGCGTGTACAGAGCGTGGTTTAGGTTTTGGCCGATGACCAGTCTGGAATTTTGTTTCTGGATAAGAATCAGATTAACTTTAGTATGTTAATCATATATATGTATAAATTATTGTTGTGTTCTGACCTTGTGGCTCTAACAAGCATAATACACAAATAGGCTGTGAGAGAAAAAAAGAACGATAAAAGAAAACATCATCAAAGTTGGCAGCATTTATCGCATGTCACATTCAAGTCAAAGGCTTTCAAATAGTTCCGATGAACTTTATGTGCACAGTGAAGAAACATGTCTATAAAAATGCTGGCATTGCCAAAAAGTTGCTCCTCCGACAGCTAACCGCACAATAAATTTTACTGTCCCTTATGCCATCAAATTTACTATCACTTTGCCATGCATTTGACTTGTCTGGCATTGCAGACTGCGTGGATTGGTATCATTCAATTTACGGCCAAATGAAATGTGGTTTGCCTTTTTTTCTTTTTATTCTGTTTTTTTTTTTTTTTTTTTGTGTATTTTGTATTTTAAATTCACTATTACGCCTTTGTTTATATGCACACAAATGAGATTGTTGGGGTCCACATAATGCATAAATTGAATCCAAATACAATGGCAATTGTAGACGGCGCCCCGAGTACTGAGTGCCAAAGTGCTGAAGCCCGAGGACCAGTTGTTGGCTAAGCAATAAACTCGCATTTATTTCATTTCTATGTATGAGCCGATTTAGCAATTCAAATGTGCGTTATCAATATGGGGGGCGTTAATTTAGCCATAAATAATTTGTTGCCTACTTTTTGCGGCACAACGCTCTGGAATTGTTCGAACTTTGAATCAATTTATCGCTTATCCAATAAGGAGGCGCACACATTTGCGACTCACTTACATAATGCTCAATTAATTAAGACATCGAAATGAGAGCGTTGTGAGTCACGTGTAATTGCCACACGCAAGCAGCTTGAGGCAACAATCAGTTGCATAGCAAATCTCAGACGCCAGACATGTCGGACAATGAGCCACAAAATACAATACTTGACACGTTTCAAATTCTATATAGTTGTCACGCCAGCTCATGCTGAGGATGGGTTAATGTATACGTACACTCAGGAAAAAAAATAATCCTGAATAAATGAATTTAAATCGCCGTATTCTTGGCGCCAAAGATAAGTCACCTTATTATTCGAAAAGCGTATTTCTAGAACGGAAAATGCCTTGCTAAAAACTAAATTGTTCTAAAATTTCTCAGAAATATGTCTAATTTCATTTTCTTTTTTTGTTACTTATGTTATTATTATTAAACATTAACAGTTAATATTTCATAGATGAAAATATTTATTGAAAAAAACATACGATTGTGTTCTAAAAAACAGTTGAGAAGGCAAATTTCATTCCTATTTTTTTTTTTCAATTTCAGAAAGGATTTTTGTAAAAATTCATTTCATTTCTACTTTTTAGAAATATTTTAATTATTAAGAAATATATTTGGGAAAAATAGAAAAAATAATTTTCTAATTTCATAAAGTTTTCTTTATCGAGTATTTAGAAATGATTTATAAGAACAATAAAAAGTTTCTAGTTTTCATGACGATATTTATTTTAGGGATTTTTTGGGATTCATTCTCTGAGTGTATTTATTTATGTACACTCAAGCCCTGTGTAACGCATCAAATCTTTAGCCTTATGCTATCGACTCGTTGCTTCAACTTCACGCATGTCTTCTGATCTGCTGTTGTGGTTGTAGTTGTCTATTTCGCTTCCTTTGTTGGCCCTTATTTGTTATTATAGTGCCTTTGTGGATTTTTGGTTTGTTATGGTTTTGGGGGGCCGTTGTAGTTGTTTTTGTGTCATTGTTTTTGGCATTTCGCACGTTCTTATTGACCCCTGGGAGTGTGCGTCAGTCGTAAAATGGAATTTGATAGGCAATGACATGGAACATGGGTGTCCACGTCTATCCAACGATTGCCTGAATGCCATTTAAACTGCATTTCAATCACAGAGACTTGTATTAAACCTAAAGCAAAGCAAATAGAACCTGCAAAATAATTTGCAAAAGACTTTTCGACAAATTGGCGGCCTGTCCCTTAGATAATACTTATGTTAAGTTGCCTCACTCTGTGCGTTTGACGGGTCACGTTGGCAACAATACAACTGGGAGGGGAAGTCCTCCTCTACGGTTTTGATTAACTGCTCCCTCCTGATAGTTGCTATGGTGAGCCCTTGGAGTTCGTTAAGTCTAAAGCTTCTAATAACTTTTTCATTTTTTGGCAAAAAATATGTTTAAATTGCGAGTGTGTCACATAAATGTGTGGGCTCATTTTCAAAAACAGTCTGTGGAATTCAGCTTGAAAACATCGCTTGTATAAATTAAGTTTAAGCAAATTGAATTAATTAAGCAACGCCAATCCAAATACTTTAAAACGGCTACCAAAAAGCTAATGCTCCATTGAAGACGCGTGTTATTGCTGATTATGTTTTGTATATTCAAAATATATTCAACAGATAAAATGTGACTGGCGTGCGACAGGCGAACAAGTTGAACCACATCGCACCACATTGATTGATCAACATGCTGACTCAACTAGTATATTAAACAGTCTGCCAAATTTATGAGAAGAGTTCTTCATGTTGTTCCCGTTAACATTTAATAGCGCCGTTAAAATTTGACTGAACTAGTTGTGAATTAGCCACACATCGCTTAGACGACTGACTCCCATAATCCCTTGCAAATAATAAAAAATAAAATAAACAAATTTACAAGGCAATTTATATGGCGTATGGAAACAATTCTTAGGGATGTCGTTAAGTTATTATTAATCCTAACAACGACAAGCCAAACATAAAAGTCGATTGTAGCTTTTGAAAGTTAAGATGATGTTCTAAGAATGTTTGTACCTTAATGAAAAGTATATACACAAGTAGTTTTGGCCACATTTTATGTATTTTAAATGTTTTTTGTTTTCGTTGAAGCTTTGCAACATAAAGCAAACAAATTGTGTATCTGCCAAGTCGAAAAGCTGCAAACTCGGATATTCCATTTCAATGTTGTTAGGATAAATAATG